ATTGCTGATCATGATGATGACGATGGGAACCAGAAAAAACTCTTCACTAAAAGGTATGAATCAATAGATAATTAACTTCGAGAACAATAGAATGAATTTAACACATTTCATAGTTTGTTTGATTGGCGTCGATGTTTCAGCTGGAAAAAGAACCATAAAACATATGAAAAATTAGGTGATAATACTGACGACAGCGACAAGGATAAACCAGTTAGTGTGTTCCTTTTAGTAAGTGTATTCAGACGATATATAAACTGATTGATATATTCGACTTTATTGTAGTTTCAGTTTGCGAATCGTATCGATTTTGTCCTGATGTTCATGGCTATGTGTTTTACAGTGCTTCATACTACTTGCATGGTCATTAACCTGATTCTGTTTGGTCGACTCACGGGACTATTTGCTATTGAATCATTTGGTAATGATTGTGATGAACAATACCAAAATTTAGTAGTGCCAATAACTTACAACATTTCATATGCAGAAGACATCGAGCTCAGTATATTCAACAACTCTCCATTGCATAAGTAATGCTGTCACAACTATTATCAGTTCATATGTATCTCTCTTTTTCCCTTAGTCTGCGCCATAAGAGTGATGTCATGTTGTTATCAACGCTAGCTACATCAACGTCTTCATTTAGAGAAAAAGTTATGCACATGATTCATTGCTTATTCGGTAAGTGAAATTAACATAATCATTTGACTATAACAAATAAGAAAAGTTTTCTTTTCATCTTCGTCAATTTAGTTACTGGCACTATTGAATTTGTATCCTGCTCTATTTCAATTTATGTTTGGATCATCAGTATGAAACGACAGACATCTCGTATGAGTGTTTCTCTCTTTCGATCACTTGTTCAACGCGTAAGTCAAATGCACTTCCAGTTGCAAAAATGATTTTTCCAAACTTTAATATCAGTCGTGTCATAGCGTTACTATGAATTTACAACATTTAATGCTCTCTCTTTTAAAAAAATCCTTACCATGCGCAAGGTAGCAATCGTACTCAATGCAATAAAGAAGTTAAAAGATCTAGATATACATATGTATACTTATAAATTCCAATATTTCAACGAATTGTAGAGATCAAATTAACGATTTCGGGCAACGGTACAAATCTATATTTAATCTCATCAATATCCACGTATCATATGCTTTCTTGGAGGCTGATGCAAATATGATTGTTTGCGCTTAAAATGATAATTGCGATCATTGATGTTTTTCGAAGAATTTATTACTTCCGTCAATAATGGCTTCACAGAGAGGAAGACACATTTCGTCATTATTGATGTACTTTTCGACAAATTCAAGCTATAAGTATTTCTGGGAAAGTGATCTTCAGATAGCCTTTGTTCTGAAAACGATATTAATGCAATATTGATGAAGTCATTTAGTGATTTCAATCGTATCATTTATTTTCAGGACTAGGGTGTAAGGAAATGAGCTTACTCTATCGAGTGATGCGCTACTTTTACTAGAAGTAGGAACTTTTATCTATGGAAGTTTGAGTGAGATTGTGTTGATACACTAGGGAACCGCCACTGATGTCGCCTTCAGATTACAATGATTTTTCTCGCATGCATACTATTGTCCATTTCAGAAAAAAAATGGGTTGGCATTTTTTGAATAACTTGTGGTAGAAGCAAGATAGAGAGCTGCGATGGACTGATGGAAAGAGGAGATGAAAGCATATCGAACTGCCTATTATAGGTTTTCTAAGATGCTTTATAAAGTTTTCTTAACCAATTTTTGTGCAACTCACATATATTTTCGAAGAAAATAGTGAGTGTAGGTTTTAAGTTCGAGCTTTTGTGCATCTCTCCCTCCCCATAACACAACATGGTAACTCCAGCAAAAAAAATGAAAAATTTCTGTTTAAAGTATAGAAATAAAAAAAAACAGCATTTGGTGACAATCTAGAGCCCTGCGGTTCCAAAAAAAATGGAACCGAGAACCGGATTTTTCTGTTTCTCTTACCCGGAGCCGGAACCGGAACCGTTAGGAACCGAAATTTTTCTTGATGGTGAGAGTTTCAAGATGTGTAGATGTTGCAAGATGCACATTATATCAGCACTTTTCTTCATTTAACCATGAAAAGTTTTCGTAGTAATCCTGGTTTTCAAGAAAAAGCTCTTAAGTTAGTTAAAACAGAAATTATTAAACGGCAATCAACAATACTGTCCGTTACATGTACAAGTACTATTCCACCACCTGTTCATACAAATTTACTTGATTCTCAATCGACAACATCAAAAGGTCCTCTTTCATACTGTTTTGATATACCACAAAATTCCTTAACATTGTCAACAACACTGTATGAATTAGATGAATATATATCATCAAATGCTCCATTCAGTGGACATGATGATGTTTTATAATTCCGCAACAACAGAATTTAAAATTACCGATCTTATTTTCTATAGCTCAAGATTTTTACGCTATGTAAACATCGAACACCATTGTAGAAGGACTTTTCTCGCCTGCAAAAAACACAAGTATCGATAAACGCATCGATCTTGGTGCAGATAAAATACCCTACTGTTATTTTTTTCAGAAAAATTTAGCATTATTAAAATCATGTGATGAAAACTTGATGAAGTTGATACAACTGAAACGAACAGCAAGATGGTTGAACAGTCATCTTCTACAATGTCCTGACTAATCTAAATAACAATCTATTACTACAACAACAAAAAGACGTTTAGAATGAGTAACGAAGATGATATTGTTCTTTGCGATCATGACCATGGAGAGGATAAGGAAATGATGAAGTAGGTCTCTTTTAGAACTTGTAATATAAATATTTCATATGAACATAGTGTATGTTAGTGTTTCATCTCATGCTTTGACTTTTTCGTTTAGCTTTTGAAGCAGCTACTTATTTGATGAAGTAATAAACACGAAGAGTCTCGAAGATAAAATGTAGAAATTTCTGAAAAGCTCAATTACTCGGTATTTTGTATGCTAGGGTAAAATCGTCGGTTCCTAGAAAAAATTTTAGGAGCCGAAAAAGGAACCGCTTTTTTTCGATTTTGCTAACAGGATCCGCAGGGCTCTATGACAATCCATTATCATTAGAAAAGAACTATTGTTTTTTAAAGAATTTAAACATTGTATATTTTTCATTAGTATAATGAAACTAAAGAAGATATGTGAGTTACACATTTCAACCCCAAAGCGGTTGCACTAACAAGCTTTCTAACAAAGTATTGAAAAATTCGTCTCTCATACAATAATAACGGAGAAAAGTGATCTTTTTTTCGCAGAGATTATTAGAAAAATCGGCTGAGAATTCAAAGAAGGATATCTATCATTCCTAAACGAGTAAATTTAGAAATCTGCGGCTTGTTCAGTTTTAAAGATCTTCCATTAACAGCTTAAATGTACATCCGATCAACTCACATTCACTTTACTCATCTTACGCAGTATGTTGCTGTTCGTAAATGTTGGTGTAAATTCTTGAAAAACTAGACCCAATCATTCTATCGTATACAGTTCGATGCGTCTTCATCTACTCTTTTTAACATCGAGAACCACAACTCTCTATCTTGCTTCTATTAAAGCTTATTCGGCAAAATACCCATCTGTCTTTTTTTTTTGAAATGAGCAATGAATACTGTTCTACAGGATGTTCCAAAAGTCCACCGGGACAATAAATTCGTACAACTCAACTACTTATCGGATACATTTAACTATCTTTTTCTCAAGTGATAGATATTCGAGGAGGAAACAGCGGACTTTAAAACTTCAAGCATAGAGACTTCAAATTTTTAAAAGACTTCAGAAGACTTCAAAAGGCTTCTAGGCTGAAATCTCAGTTGTTTACCCCTCGTAAATATCACTGTAAAGTTCTTATTCATGCAAAGAAGCTTCTCAGAAAAGGTTCAAAGTTATCACTTTCGTCTGAAATAAAAAACTAGTGTTTTTCAGATTTCAGAAAGAGACACTTAGCAGTGTTTCTCTGTTGATGCTGCAATTTCTTGCGTTGTTTTGTAATGTTTATATCGGCTGGATCTTCCATTATCGTTTATATGCATTTGTTTTGATATGTCACTGCAAAACCAGCCTAATAGTATCAAGCCAAATGATCACGAAGCTCATGAGATCAGTTCACCTTCAATTCATCAGTCGTCGCTCGAAAAGTTAAAAGGACTTTGTGAGCTTCATAATCATTGAACTGGATACTATTAGGCTGGTTTTTTCGGTGACATATCAAAACAAATATATATAAACGATAATCCAAGATCGAATTGATATAAACATTACAGAAAAACCCAAGAAATAGCAGCATCAACAGAGAAACATTCCTCAGTATTTCTTTTTAAAATCTGAAAAACACTGTTTTTCGTATTTCATTCGAAGGTGATAACTTTGAACCATTTTTTGTGAAGTTTGTCCGCATAAATAAAAACTTCACAGTGTAATCAATTGTTTACGAAGAAAATCGCTAAGTAAGCTCGAACAGTAGTGGAGTTAAACGAACTTACGTTCGCAGTGCATTTTTTAAACACTCCATAGAAGGTTAGCCAATATCTATGTGGAGAAAAATCATTCAGATCGAAGGTGACATCAAGAGAGCTTGGATCATTCAAATGGAATTATTGTAGAGCTCATTATTTGATGGGTGCAGTCAACATGAAGTTGACATTTGCTAGATCAGTTCGAGTGAAATGGAATTTAACTGATTTTTATCAGCGATTATTAAGTTTCTCTTCACTTAGTAACTTGTCAGGTGAAAAAAATTCAGACGGAAAACATAAATTTGAAAAGCAGATGCCAAAAAATTCAAATTTATAAAATAAAATTTGATAGACCATGGCTTTTTACAGCCAGAATTGCAGTAGGGTTTTCGAAAAACATAATTACCGAGTTAAAATAGAATTCAAAAAATAAACCAAGAGTTGAATTTAGGAAATATGTGTAAAGTTAGAGTAGCATACAGTCGAGTTTAGCTATTGATGATCTTTTTTTTCACTTTGATTTTAGAGCATTCCTTACATGGATACCAAACCAACTAGTCAAATCAATGCTAAACTATTTCAGTAAGCCGATCTGATATGTTATAAAAAATTACTCCATCTGATACTATTCTTATGTAGTGACATTGAAAAGATCGAGAAAGGTATCGGTTATGAATTCTTAGTATTAATGGGAACGATAATCTGCATCCTTGGATGTTTAATAGCATCTTTTATTGTCCACTGGCAATTGACTTTGATCATGCTATGTTTAATACCTTTAGTGCTTGGTAGTTCATTTGTATTTTCTAAGGTATGAAGGTTTGTTCATTAAATTAAATTTATTTGATTTATTATAGCTCACTGCTAAAGAAGCAATGAATGAGTTAAAAACATATTCAAAAGCAGGACAAATCGTTCAAGAAGTGTTTAGTTCACTGAGAACTGTTCTTTCTCTCAATGGTGCCAAATTTGAGCAAAGACGGTAAACGAATCTATAAAAATAGTTGACTTTTGTTGATAACAAAAGTATGTTGTTATTTCTCTTGTATTTAGATATGAGAGAGAATTGAATCCAACCCGTTGGAGTAATATACGCAAAGGTGTGATCTATGGAGTTTTTATTGGAGGGATATCTCTAATAATCAACCTAGTTTATGCTGTTGGTTTTATCTTTGGTTCTCTTCTTATGTCAGACAAAACTCATAATAATTTGAATATTAGTGATATTCTTGTCGTGAGTAATTCATATAACCATCCAATTAGAAAATGAATATAAGAATACTTATCTTAATACAGGTCGTTTCTATCTATGCACAAAGTTTGCATTTCTTCAGTCTTATTGGTCCTTTCTTTCAGTCATTTGCAGAAGCTCGAGGTGCAGCATCATCGGTAATTCGGCTTATTGAAGAGGTAAATCTAAGTTTTAGGTCTCAAATCAGCAGAAATGTTTTGTATTCGTTTACATGATGTAGGGAAATGACATAACTATCAATGAAACTGATGTATTGAAAGAGGATACAGAATCAATGTATAATATCAATGGTGACATTCAATTTGACAATGTCAACTTTATGTATCCATCTCGAAAAGGTGCACCAGTTCTTCGTAATCTTTCACTCATCGCTCGTGCTGGTCAGACAACAGCTCTTGTAGGTTCAAGTGGCTGTGGTCAGTATTTTCTTAAACAAGCATGTTAAAATTGTTCTCATTTATATTCATTATGTATTCATAGGAAAAAGTACATGTATATCATTATTTCTTCGTTACTATGAACCTTCATCTGGTCGAATAACAATTGATAGTCGACCAATAACAAACTACAATGTCCAACAACTTCGACAAACCATTGGAGTTGTCAATCAAGAACCTGTATACTTCTTTTCTTCATTTCTTTTTGTCTCTTTCTATTTGTTTTTATTTGTGTCATAGATTTTATTCGGTATGAGTATTTATGAAAATATTCGTTTTGGTAAAGTAAATGCAACACGAGAAGAAATTGAACAAGCTGCACGAGATGCAAATGCACATCATTTCATCATGCAATTACCAAATGTTGACGCCCAATACTCGTGTTTATTGATGTATATATATATATGATTATTTCTTGTTTAGAAATATGAAACACTTGTTGGTGAACGGGGTATGCAGTTGAGTGGTGGTGAAAAACAACGTATTGCATTAGCTCGTGCTCTTGTCAAGCAACCTACATTTCTTTTATTGGATGAAGCAACAAGTGCACTTGATAATATTAGCGAAAAAATTGTTCAAGACGCTCTTGATCGAGCATGCAAAGGTAATAATTGTTCTTTTCTGCTTATCTTATTGACACATGAATATGTGTAGGTCGTACAACAATTGTTATTGCTCATCGTTTGAGTACAATTCAAAATGCTGATCAAATATATGTATTAGATAATGGAAATGTGATTGAGCAAGGTACACATGAAACATTGATGGCAAAAGAAGGAGGCAAATATCAATCAATGGTCAAACGTCAACAAATGGAAAGATTCGATGATGATAAAGATGATATGATGAGCATAGAAAAAGCAACAAAAGAAGAGGAAAAGTCTATATGTATGTTAATAGTCTAATAGTAATACTCTTCATTATTTTTCGTTGTTTTTTCTTTAACAGTAGAACGCTCTTGTTTGTTTAGTGATAGTCAAATTGTTGGTGTGAACCAAGTACAAAATACTACTATAATTATTAAAAACTATTATTCATAATCTTCTATTTTTTAGCAAAGTTCAAAATCATTCACACAAAGATTTGTCCTTTGGAGACTCTTATCAATGAATAGTCCTGAATGGATCACTATCTTGATTGGTTGTATAGCTTGTATACTTAATGGAGCAGGTCAACCATTGTTTGCATTTTTAGTTACCAAAATGGTTGATGTGAGTGCTTCATCTCTATAAATATTGTCCAAGAAAGATGAACAATATACACCGTTTTATGTGAATTTGTTTTATTGTGTAGGCATTCAAATATTGTTCAAACTCTGAACGACGTACTCATGTGTTGATAACTTGCTTTATTTTTTTACTTTTTGGTGTTGCTCTTTTGGTTGTTCGTTTCGTCCAGGTAAAAATGCTGCTTCTAAAGTTGATTAGTCATTTATTCAGTCGCTTCTAGTATACGGCTTTTGCCATATCAGGATCGAAATTGACACAACGTATTCGTTCGAAAGCTTTTGCATGTCTTCTTAGTCAAGAGATTGCTTATTTCGATCAACCTGAAAATAGTTCTGGTGCAATATGTACTCGTCTTTCTTCTGATGCATTGTCGATTCAAGAAATGAGTGGTACACGATTAGGAGCCATCTGTCAAGCTATTGGACTTTCACTTTTCGGAATGTTATTTGGATTTTTAATAAGTTGGCAATTAACAATTATCGTTTTGGCTCCTCTTTTTCTCCTATCTATAGTCACCTATAAGAATGTACGCTCACATAAACGGCTGAAACAAGAATTTGACCGTATTATCGAAAGAGCAAGCACAGTAAGACCAGATTTTAGCTGAGAATAGGTTTTTTGATATAAAAAAAGTGTTTTATCATGAGTTATTTCATAATTCAAACACATCACACTCACTCTGGATTTTACATCTGTAGCTTGCTGTTGAAGTTATGCACAATATGCGTACAATAAAGCAATTGTCAATAGAAAAAGAAGTGTTACGACAATATTTTGACCTTATTCATGAAGTATTTATGTTAGTCAATCGAAATTTATATATATTTATAAATTCTGAATTAGTCTTGTTTTGTCATAGATCGTTTTGGAAACCTTCGATACTACATTCAATGATCTATGCTATGTTCTGGGCAGTAGATCCATACATTATGGCATTTTTGTATTGGCGTGCTCTTGTCCTTGTTGAAAAGAAGGAACTCACCTCGAATCGTATTATAATGTAATTGAAGTCATTGTTTAAGAATGTAGAGGCAATACTTGATTATCTTTTCAATTTATTAGGGTCTTTGCTTTTGCTGTCTTTTCAATACAAGTACTAAAAGTCGTCATAATGATGTAACATTATATATCTCATGTGTTTTCTTGTTCTTCTAATGTCTTTATTCTAGATCTCACCGTATCGCCTCATCAGTTGCAGCTGCTGAAAGGTTTTTTGATTTATTTGATCGAAAACCAGTTATCAACAATACATCCACTACAGGAATAGAATTGGTAAGTGAATAAAGAACATCATTCCTTGCTTTGAATTATACCTATGCCATGGATATACAGAAAAAGCTTCGACAGTAGATAACTCTCTATAGTAGACACTTTTGAAAAGTCCAAAGAGAATGACCGCTATAGAGAGGTTTTACTGTAATATGATTTGTGTAGGATGAGTTTCGTGGAGAAATAAAATTTGATCAAGTCAAATTTATCTATCCTACTCGACCAACATCAATTATTCTCAATAAACTTCAATTGAATATTAGATCAGGTAAGTGAGATAAGATTCTATTTAATCGATTGACTAGAAATTTTTATTTTCTAATAAGGTCAACGTGTGGCTCTTGTTGGTATGTTAGAATTAAATGTTTCTATTGAATGCTCATTAGGTAATATAATTCGTACAGGTACATCCGGATGTGGAAAAACAACGGTAATTCAACTCTTGGAACGATTCTACAATGTCACACAGGGTCAACTAGTTAGTATTTCTTCAATATATTGTTTGAGCAATCATATAAAATATGTCGATTCAATCTAGTTTCTTGATGATATTGATATTCGACAACTAAATTTACAATGGGTTCGTTCTCAATTTGGTCTTGTTAGTCAAGAACCAATCTTATTCGATTTAACAATTGCTGAAAATATAACATATGGCTTAGAAAATGTTTCAATCGAAGATATTATCAATGCAGCAAAGAGAGCTAATATTCATCACTTTATAGATCAATTGCCTCAGGTTAAACATTACAGAATTATCTGATCTATCTATTACTGTTATATGATGTTGTTTTTTTAGGGTTATGAAACAAGAGTAGGGTTGAAGGGTAGTTTTCTATCAGGTGGTGAGAAGCAACGTATTGCTATTGCTCGAGTTCTTATTCGTCGACCTAAAGTATTACTCTTAGATGAAGCTACAAGTGCCATGGATTCCCATAATGAACAGGTGTGTTATTTGTTTTTGTATGATAGATAAAAGATTCATCTTCATTTGTTATTTATAGCTTGTACAAGAAGCTCTTGAGCAAGCTCAAACAGAAGATTCTAGTCGAACATCATTGATTATTGCTCATCGTCTTTCAACTATTCGTTCATGTGATTTGATTTGTGTACTTGATGGAGGGCATATAGTAGAAAGTGGTACTCATACAGAATTGATACAACGACGTGGAATTTATTATAAAATGCTTGCTCAAAACAACTTACAATAATGATCAGTGACTTATTTTGAAAGTGACAATAAACTTTGTTAAACATTAAGAGAAATTTCATCTAAAATATCTGACACATGACATAGTTACATTGCTCAATTTACTGCATGATCATTATCTTTGATAAAGGATTGATTGTTCAATTGAATTACAATGTATCATATTGATTGATTTTAGTTTATTGATTCTATCTGAAGATAGTAGAGATAGTAATGATCTGAATAGCTATTTAGATTTGGATCCATTCATACAAAAACAATTAAACATAAGAATATTAGCTTTCTAATTTTCCGTGTGGCGATAGTCGCATAAATATCGCGGGTTTTATTACTATTTTTTATTCCAATGAATTGTAAGATGACATTGCGATGAAACTGTTTAAATAGAATTTCTGCCGATCTGTTGTCAATTTTGATTGAAACTTGCATATTTGTGATTGCTTTTTCATGATTCATGATCTTTATTCTATTCAAACACTCTCCAATAGTCAGAATAATGAAAGACTCTCTTCAATTTGATATGTTGTAAATATTATGCATATGACTATGCCTATCATGAAGTTTTTCGAACTAGAATGGAGAAATGAAATAGAATATTGTAACCGTTTAGTCGAAGAATATACTTACAGCCTACAATACTGGAGTAAAAAAACCTTGTCGAGGAATATAGTGAGCGAAAATTTCGGTAGAATTCTAAATGTAATTATCACTAAATGTATTTATTGGGATTTTGTTCACGATCTCGTTGTTGCTGTTGCATGTTTTTCACACTACTTTGATTCTTATTTATTGATAGGCATCAAAAAAGTGCTTCCTTTTTTCATTCTTGAAGAAAAGAGAAGCATTTTTACATGCAGCATGTTGCTGTAAAGTATTGTATACGTTGTGCAGTATGGTGAAATGATTCGTGTATGTAGCAGATAATGTTATGGCTTATTTAGTTTTTTATTGACTCAAATGAATCCAACAACATATGTTTAATGAGAATCTTCAGAATCTAACATGCTATGTAATTCTAAAAGTAGTTCTGAGGTTATTCTTTTTCAAAAATGGTTAGTTTAATCTTCAGAAATTGAAAAAAATATTGACTAAAATGTTATTTAATAATTGAGCCGTTGTTTTGATCATTAAATTTGTGATAAATCGTCATTTATCTCTTGTATCGATAAAAAACGATTAGTGGAGGGTTTTTTATGCTGAAATATCAATTAAGCACTTAGTTTTTATGTAGCCCGATTACTGATATAAACTGGAACGGTTTTCAGGGCAAGTGTAACTGTAGTATTGATAACTAAGAAGATCGAGTTTTGTCATGAAGTGATGAGTACAAACAATGTTCATAACTGAAACAGCAACATGAATTTATCATTGAATAAAGAAATACGGGAATATGTATAACGTGCGTTTTAGAGAGTAAACAACATTCGCATTGATTCCAAAGGGGATAAAAAGTGTAAGAAGTGTTGTGTGAGTAATTCGCAAAACAAAAGCAATAACAATAACATTCAGAATTAGAACGATAAGAAAGAATCGTAGCAACTCGATGGCGACATTTTGTGCAAGCCTTAGTTTGATGTAATTCTCTATAAAGAAAAAGCTCGATAAATCTTGTTAGATAAAATAAGGTAAGATCTTCTAACTTGAAGATTCAATGTTATCCGTATTTTACATCTGACTTATATTTGTCAAAAATAATATTATGATCTAAACTTGTTTTTCGTATATGTCTATCAGTTCTTGTTACAGTTAAAGCAATATTTTTCTCAATACATAAAATATATTGTCGTACTAAGCTATTTTCGATATTGTTATAATTTATTTCGCATCAAAGAAATGTCTGTATAATATTCTCTGAAAGATGACTAGATTATCTCATGTATAAGTAATACTCTGGATCTACACATGTGCCTCAAACCGTAATGATTTTTTGATACAATTAAAAACTTGTTTGGCTGAAGACATGTTTAATATGCATGGGATGAATATTATTACACATTGTATTCAATGACTTCGAAAAGTTGATATTATCGATTTATGGTACAATGCTATATGACGTTCTTGGCTCTCTCCATTATAGATATTTACTACAAGTGAAATTGACCCTCGTTGAAATTCAAAATCCTACATTATCTCTACGAATATTGATTGTCTATTGTGATTCTGTTCAAAAAACCAAATGTGCCGAAGCTGTGTAGTAACAAAAAAAAGACTACAAACGTGTATTTGTACCTATGGCTCGAATATTTACTCATTACGTGATCAACCACTGTAGTCCATCCCTCTAGTGTTGCCATCTTACAAATGTTTGAAAACGTAGAACATGACTTGAAGAAAATAGGAAATGAAAAAAAAAGTCTACGTCAAAATGAAGAAAACATTTTTTGATCTCGAATCATTTCTGAAACTTTTTCTTGATGTCATAATAAGCAAAGCTCATGTAGAATTCCAATCATTTATAGCAATTTGAAGAGTTAGACAGATTCTTTGATACATTCTATTTTTATCGTGTACTTATTTTGTTTGTTTACATAGCTTTCACTAAACTTTCGTTGAATATGCGCAGTATTGATATAAGTACAGTTCGATATCACTTTCCACGTATTTCTTTTTAACGATTAAAAGAAAAATCAGATTAATTTTAAACAATAAATTAAAGGACTATAACAATCATCTGAGATACGTTTGATGACTAGGCCTCAAGGTCTAACTTCAAATGGTGCTATTATAATATAACTGTACATGAGCAAAAAAAAGGACTCAGCGTTTGCTTTACTTTATGATCAACGATTACATGAAGCAAAAATATTGAAAAAGCAGAATATTTCTATTAAGATCAGAAGACGCAACAATCTTACTTTCCTTTCTCATTTGAGCAAAAGCGATATTTTCAAGAGACAATCTCTTTGTTCTAACTGATCACATGAGTTCTGAACAGTCTGAGATAAAATATCCATAAGGTCTATCTCATTATGAAAACAATAATAAATGGCATCAATTATTTAAAAATCAAAAAGATATTGAAATACATTTCAACAAATGTATAACTATTCAAGTTAGAAGACCTTTCGTAAAAAAATCAGCTCTTTCAAATTTTACTATTCTATGTGCCCATAGAAGAAAAACCACATAGACGAATAACAATATGCAAATAGAGTTAAGCTACTTTTTTTGTTGACTAACTGTACTACAAAAAAATAATACCTGACTGATCAATAATGAAGTAAAGAGTTCACTTAAAATGCTTCTTCCATGTGTGTTATCAAACGCGAATACAAATAGAAAGAAAATACTAGAAAATAATTTAAATATTTCTCACTATTTCAAAAATGAAATAGAATTTGATACTATTCAAAATCAATCAATATATTGTCAATAAAACAATTGCTGTATTTTATACAGCGTAAAAGTCGAAGAGGTACCTATAAAAATTGTCAGCATCCACAAACATCATCAAAACTACAAAAAGACAATACAATACAAAACGAATATGATATAGACACTTATTCTAGGAGTATACAAAAGATACATAGGAAATAAAAAAATCTTGTTTTCACTGAAAAAGATGATTACAAAAGAAAAGAATAGAAAAGTATCCAGGGTTGTTCAAAAACATTTTAATAAGAATGGTGTTAAGATAGGTTGTTAGCAACTGTGTGATTGTCTTATCAGCTAAATTATGCATTGTAATTAGAAGACATATAGTCCTTTCAATACTTTCATCTCGTTAAGATACACTCGTTTTAAGAAATCATGTTTTGCATCAAAGAGTACCAGTAATCGATATCAGAATGACTTGTTCTCAACAAATTCTCCAACATGTATACTTCAGTCGACTTCAATTCCAGTACCAAAGGTCGCCCTGTATTGATATTAGACAATTATATGTACATTCGAGATCGTTGAACTAATAAAAAAAGTTACCGGCATTGTAAAAATCATCAATAGTTTAATTGCCATTATTGAATATACACACGATCCTTGTGTTGCGTAATGATGTTTATACCACAAGTTGTAATCGTGATCTAATCAAAATGTCAGTAAGAAAATGTCATAATAATCTCGTCGATCGTATGAAAAACACATCGAGCATCAACAGATACTATTTATGAATGCTTGAGACATTATATGTATCAATGCAATAATGAAAAACGAATTGTTCCTTTTGTGTTTGATTGATGCAGCTACATATTCTGGTTTATGTTTTTTGAAAATAAAATAAAAATTGCTTTTTCTTTTATATCCTACTCTGTTAATCGTTTATCGATGTGAAAATTAAGTCTTTTTTTTATTTTGTGCACCAGATTCAGTGCGTGCAGCTTTAAGAATCCTTATACTTAGCTGTGCTTTTTATTTTCAACTGAAATATAGACGTTTTTGTGGACACAAACATTCATGTTGACTTTGATTTTTACTTTTACAAGATATTTTACAATTAATTATCAATTTAGCCGAGAATTACTTTTGGAGTACATGTAAAACTTGTCGACACTCATGATTATATTGGCTTTCATTGTAGAAGACAACAGTCGGTACCTTGATATTTAATGTAACATACCTTGTATAAGTAATAATCAAAGTAGCCATGAATGTCCGTGGAGTGTCAATACCAGTGATATGGCGTTATTTCAAAGATTGGGTTAGTTCTTCTCGACTTGGTAGTGATTAAAGAACGTACTATGTATCTGTACTCCCAAAAATGGGCGTTTGTCTTTCTGAAACCTTTTTTTTTGATCAACCCTTTGAAAGCAAAAAGTTAAATAAAACATTAAACTATTGTCTTTATATCAAAATTAAATTAATAACACTAATCAAGATTTATTTTATACATGGTTATCAGTTTTGTAGATTATTTCTATGCTTAACTATAAATGAAATTTAAATACAAAAGCAAATTCTGACAATTATTATTAATCTTCTAATGTCTTTGACTCTATACTTATGTTCAATGCTTTCTGTTCATCAAAAGATGCTGTTTTTAATAAGAATGAAGATGATGATGAT